ATTTATGGTGCCACTGCTTGAGAAAAGTTTTAATGAGTACACACTCAACCACTCTTGCTTGCTTCAATGGCTATTTTGCGAATGATGTGTTATTATAGCATCTGGTCTTTGACAAACATCTTATTGCTTATTGTAAAAACAGACAGTTAATCTCGCACCTGCTCCATAGATCAAATAATGCTTGTTGGGTTTCTGAGGGCAAAAAATTATCAATAATATACTGAATTATTTAATCATGATTTATTCTAGTATTTTCTGCTTTTCTGAGATTGCCTCAGATGATCTCCTAATATTCTCCTAGTTATCATCCTCCCTGACCTCCTCCCATCAAGGATTCCACTAACCCATTAAATAAACAGTGTAGAGAGACAAATTGTGTTCTTCTTATGTATACATTTTTTAATGAAGTAATTAACAATTTAAACGGCATGAAAAAACACATGTTAAAACATAATCATCATTGTAAAATGTGACACTAACGTAGATGACAGCATGCTACAGTTAGAGGGGTTGGTTTGTTTTCAGCTGCTGGATCTGTTCATTTGTAGTTGTCAAATTTCTTTAAAAAAGATTCCCACATGATATCATGGGATGGTGTATAAATAGCACGCCGCTTTTAGGGACTTTTGCATGTCATGTCTATGAATTTTAAGCTTTTCGTGTATCATTTGATGCCATATCAATTAGGGGTTAGGGCTTGGACAGTAGAGAAATGACACAAAAATGCATGGTGATACAACATGAACTCACTTAAGAAACTGACGTGTTATTCATATACCAGTTGATCATACCAGGCTGCTGATTCAATTCACTGTAATGGTATGTAACCATAATCTTGTCTTGTCAATCACGAAAAACTGAATATGAACTCACACTTGCTAAATGGCTCAAGAGACATGATAACATGGGAATCTATAGACAGCTATGCAGGTGGATACTGGAAATTGGCAATTCAGACTCAGAACATGAATAGAAACCACAGCAGAATATGAAAATGTACATGTTATCCATTTTGCAGAGGCCTTTATCCCCAAACACAGGTGGATAAACCAGTCTGAGCTCAGGTTGTATTTCAGGCAAGTGGAAATGCGTCCGCTACTGCTAGTGAGCCTCGGACATTCAGCATTCCTCATTGAAACCTAAGGAGTTCAATGTCAGTAACACATCCATTTCTAAGTCCATCATTTTCTATAAAGTGGCTGAAACTTATCATCAAGGGAACCACTTTTTTACAAGTACACTAATAGTAATTTCTTCAAGACTGTTCACATGCAGCCTGAAAATGTTAACAGAAAGTAAATAGCTTTTTCTGCATTAACAGTTCACCTTTTTGTCACCAAAAAAAGTTTAGCAGTTTCATCAATTTTTATTCAAAACCACTAAAGTTATACTGGCTTTGACCTTTGACCACCAAAATCTAATCAGTTCATCCTAGAGTCCCAGTGAACACAAGGGATTCCCTTGAAGAGTTCATGAGATATTGCGTTCACAAGGCCAAAACCATGTTTGGTGAGGTCACTGTGTCCTTGACCTTTGACTTTTGACCACCAAAATCTATTCAGTTCATCCTTGAGTCCAAATGAATATTCGTGCCAAATTTGAAGAACTTCTGGGCGCCCTGGTAGCTCACCTGGTAGAGCTAGTACCATGTGCTAAGAATAAGTCTTAACCACAGCGGCTCACTAGAAATAAAGCAGAAATGCCCCCCAAAAAAATCCATTGCTTCGTTCTCCACTGTGGGGAGACATATAAAGAGAAACACACTTCTCTTTTTAAAAATGAAAGCTGTAATGACAGTAAAAGGACAACATATTATACAAAGCAATGCACATTCACACCTGTTCATGGCACAGTAAAGTCAAGCACACATGATGAAAAACGACCTCACTGTGTGGAAGAGCAAGAACCAAAATTGAAATCAGGAAGTAGAAACCGTAAACTGTTTTAGGTTTGTTAGGGAGGCATTCTCTGTTCTGGTGTGTGAAGGGCTTATAACGTGAATGAAGTAACTGAGCCTTGAATGGCTCTCAGTGCCACATGTTAGTCGAGATGTGGATTTATCAAATAAAATTAGACAGTGTGTCCTATGTGAGTTGTGCTATTAACAGGTAATGTTTATAAATGTATAATATTCTATATATATTTCTGGCACTGATAATTCACCTGACATACGTATATTGGGTATTTAATAGTTTTTAGTTCATTCATATCCCTACTTCCATTCTCCCCTGCTCAGCTGCTGGGAGACATACTGACAGAAACACACCCCTCCCTCCAGGTGACCAGTGGAGCTGGACCGGGGAAAAGGAAAGTGTCTTTTGGCAAGGCAGGAGGCGTAACCTGATGAGAAGTACATCATTGCTCTTCGAAACATGTCCTCAGCACCAGCCTGCTCAGAAAATGTTTCTGCAAACTCACGTTTGCAACCATCCAGAGTTACATACACCAGATAGAGTTTTGAATTGGACATGCAGCCCATTAACACCTTCTCCTCAGAAAGGATTATGTTTGCCTGACCTACAGCTTTCTGCATCTCCCTCACAATGTACTTCTCATCATCTTTCTTCCAGAGACAAAGCTGAATAAGAAACCCTATTGGAACACAGCAGAGACTAGAAATAGTGAGTATCAATGTTCCAGAAACACTATGGTTGTCAACTGTGAACAAAAGCATAAATGCAAATATACCTGAATATGTACAAAAACTTGCTAAGACTAAAACTACTGTTACACCAGTAATGTAGATCAGTGTTCGAAGCCAGAGTGGACGCAGCCACACTTTGGTTTGTGAGACAGTGTTGATCATCCTCACAGCCTCTCTGTACTTCTCCTGGTCCTCAATGATCAGGCGCAGTTGGTCTGGCACCTCCATGTCACTGAACTGACCACAGTCCCATTTATTGAGTCCCTCATCATTGACAGCAGTCAAAGGCTGCAGGGCTTTCCCGTTGTAGATAGAGGGAGGCTGGAAGGGCACCACAGTGGACCCTTGAAGCTGCTGGTTGGGGGTGCAGAGCACCTTAAGCAGCTTATTCATAAATTCAGGGTCGTTGGCTTCCAGGTAGGTGAGGTGGCAGAGGTGAGGAGGAACTGAGACTCCTGGCTGCAGCAGCACTGGGACGATGGGTTTCCTCTCCAGACAGTCTCTGAACAGAGACATGTTGGCCTCCAGGAGACACCAGCGGCTCCTCACAAACTCCGGGCTGAGAACCAGCAGCACCTTCTGGCTCTCCTGGATGCACTCGGACATGTTCTCCAACACGGTGCGCCCGGGAATGAAGTCACGATCATGGTAGCAGACCTGCAGGCCAAAGGACTCCAGCTGGTTGATGATGGGGTGGGTCCACTGGTGATCAGTGCTGCTGTAGCTAATGAAGACATGGTAACACTCACCATCTCTCAGTGTGGGAGGAACATGAATGGAAGGAGACAGTGGGACAGTGGACTGTGACTGACTGTCTGAAGGCTCAAGTGAGTTCCTTTGGTCCATTATCTATGGAAAACTAAAATGAGATAAAAAATATAATATAATATAACTAAAAATATAATTTAAACATTTGGGCAAATTTTTCAAAGATTTAATTTAGCAGTGTTTATTTTATGTTAGTAAAGCTAAAAGAGACACAAATTTAGAGATGCTCAGTGATCATGCTACTGTTCAGCATAACTCAATAAAGTCACTTCAAGTTTGGATGTGATGTAAGTTACAGCAAAAGTTTATCTCAAACATTATTATAAGAAAAAGACTTGTACAGCACTTTTCAATAAATAAATAAATAACAAAGTGCATGAGCTGATTCAAATAAAAACCATCCAAACAAATCTGTACAAGTAAAATGTAGATGAAATTAAAAAGACATCACAAAATGTGTCTTAAGAAGTAAGATAAAACATGGAACTGACTCTGCGGGTCTAATCAAGTTTTTCTAAAGTTTAGGGTCCCTGACAGCAAAGGCCTGCCTCCTTTGGTTTTCAACCTAGACCTTGGAATGGCCAGCAATGAACTACCAGAGGATATTAGACTGCGTCCCGGCTCGTAGAGGGATAAAAGCTCAGAAATATAAGGAGGGGCCAGCCCAAGCCTGGCCTTAAAAGCAATTAAAAGAATTTTGAAACCAATCCTCAAATAAATGGACAGCTAGTGTATAGGAGTATCTCCTGAAATAGCGCCCCAACGGTGGCAGGCATACTGCACTTTGATTGTCATGGTTACAATAAAAAACACACCGACTGTATCAAGAGCGCTGGACCTACCTTCATCGCCATGCTTACTGGAATAACGGTCATGGCTTGGTTAGGTTTGGGCTCTAGAACTACTTGTTTAGGTTTATGAAAAGATCATGATTTGGGTTAATATAGGTACTTCCTCAACATTAGATGATTTTTGTTCATGGACAATAAAAACAACATAAACTGCTACTTTGACATGAGAATAGAACACCGCTTTCCTGTATCATATGTCTGTCTATAGTTGACCCTTCCATCCACCTCAACCTCCTCCACCCATGGACTTTGTCGCCTCCATATATGATGTCACCTCAATTTTCCCTTTGCTCCTGTCATAATTACTAAGGCCACTAGATGTTGCCTAACAACAAAACGTAACTATGGGTCGTAATAACCTGCTGCACAAACAACCTATGGGCTCGTTTTTTTACAGGATGACAGTCTCGATATGAAAATATTTTTTGAACTGAGTTATGAGCCGGCTGCTGCATTTTGAACAAACTGTAGGCGGTGGATTGATTTCTGATTGAGACAGGTATATGGGAAGTTACAGTAGTCAAGGCAGGAGGCAGTAAAAGCATGGATGAGTTTCTCCGGATCTCTGCCTGGAATAAAAGACGTAACCTTGGCTATATTTCTAAAATGATAAAAACATGACTGCACAGCTTTCTTCACCTGGGGTTCCAATCACAAATCCTGATCAAAGATTCCAATATGTTCCAATAAGTTTTAATATGATTAAAAACTTGTGTAAATGAAGTAAAGTCTTTTAATGAACATACTTTTGTTTTCAGAACTCTGTGTGTTTTGGATTGTGATATAAACAGAAGGCAAATACCACATGACATTTAGAAAAACCCAAATGACTCAGCTTTCAGTAATACATTTATATCTTGTTCAGTTGCTAAATTCAAATAAAAAACAATCAATATCAAAACAGATAAAAAATAGTCCAAGTCATCCTGATAATCCCACATGTAATAAAGTACAAATCATTCACAAATAACTTCTCTAATGAAACCGATGGCTTCAAATGCCACTGAAGAAACAAAACACAGACAGTTCTTATTTTCAATTAATATCTACTATAACAATAGATTCCCAAATCTATAAAGTGTAATGTGATGTCACTCGCTGCAGAATCAAACCTTCTTATGTAACTCAGTGTTGCTAAATATACAGAAAGTAGCCTGTTCATGCGAAAAGAAGTAAGGTCATAATCCTGTAATCAAAAGGGCTAAAATACAAAGTTCATAGGAGTTATAAAGACCCATGATGAGAAGTGCACATGGCAAACTAAAAACATTTATCAGTGAAGCACTATCATGAGAAATTAGCTGAAAAAAACAACCACACACACACATGCAAAAACCTACAGCGTCATATTACTCCTTTGAAGATTAAAAACTATAATCACACAGAATCAGGACAACACAGAATTCACAATAAAGTAAATTCATACCTATTTGTGATACAGTGATGAAGACTGATCACACTGTGCAGATGAACAAGAACCAATGGTAAAACTCAGGAAGTAGAAGATATAAATCTCTTCACTGTTCTGCTTTTTAGGGTTGTTAAAGTGACAGAAGTTCTGTTGCTGACATGGCTGCCGTAATTTTGCCCTTAAAAACTCTCAGTGGCTCGTCTTACTCCACTCACAATACAAGCTGGTTGGCTGCAGGTATGTCACCTGTGTATGTTGAGGTAATATTTCTTAAGTAGGAATGAGCTTTTCTGAGACAGATAATTTACCTGACATGTATTGAACAATTAACTTGATTTCTTTTTCAATTATCTTGATCACATCACAGATTACATCTTGATTTCTTTCATATCCCTACTTCCATTCTCCCCTGCTCAGCTGCTGCGAGACATACTGACAGAAACACACCCCTCCCTCCAGGTGACCAGTGGAGCTGGACCGGGGAAAAGGAAAGTGTCTTTTGGCAAGGCAGGAGGCGTAACCTGATGAGAAGTACATCATTGCTCTTCGAAACATGTCCTCAGCACCAGCCTGCTCAGAAAATGTTTCTGCAAACTCACGTTTGCAACCATCCAGAGAAACATACACCAGATAGAGTTTTAATTTGGACACGCAGCCCATTAACACCTTCTCCTCAGAAAGGATTATGTTTGCCTGACCTACAGCTTTCTGCATCTCCCTCACAATGTACTTCTCTTCATCCTTTTTCAAGAAAGCAAGATTAATAATAAATGCTAAAAGAACACAGCAGAAACAAGTACTAGTGAGCACCACCAGTCTAAAAAGATTTGTGTTTTTGTTTTTGGAAATATTGTCGTCAATCATGAATGTAGTTAGCCTCATTACAAAATAAACTAAGATAAGCATAAAAACAATTGTAACAAACAATGTAACCAGTACTCTAAGCCAGAGTGGACGCAGCCACACTTTGGTTTGTGAGACAGTGTTGATCATCCTCACAGCCTCTCTGTACTTCTCCTGGTCCTCAATGATCAGGCGCAGTTGGTCTGGCACCTCCATGTCACTGAACTGACCACAGTCCCATTTATTGAGTCCCTCATCATTGACAGCAGTCAAAGGCTGCAGGGCTTTCCCGTTGTAGATAGAGGGAGGCTGGAAGGGCACCACAGTGGACCCTTGAAGCTGCTGGTTGGGGGTGCAGAGCACCTTAAGCAGCTTATTCATAAATTCAGGGTCGTTGGCTTCCAGGTAGGTGAGGTGGCAGAGGTGGAGAGGAACTGAGACTCCTGGCTGCAGCAGCACTGGGACGATGGGTTTCCTCTCCAGACAGTCTCTGAACAGAGACATGTTGGCCTCCAGGAGACACCAGCGGCTCCTCACAAACTCCGGGCTGAGAACCAGCAGCACCTTCTGGCTCTCCTGGATGCACTCGGACATGTTCTCCAACACGGTGCGCCCGGGAATGAAGTCACGATCATGGTAGCAGACCTGCAGGCCAAAGGACTCCAGCTGGTTGATGATGGGGTGGGTCCACTGGTGATCAGTGCTGCTGTAGCTAATGAAGACATGGTAACACTCACCATCTCTCAGTGTGGGAGGAACATGAATGGAAGGAGACAGTGGGACGGTGGACTGTGACTGACTGTCTGAAGGCTCAAGTGAGTTCCTTTGGTCCATTATCTAAAGAGAAGACAAAGGTCAGAACATCAACTCATATTTTGTAAATACCTTACAAGGATACTATTTATGATCATGGTTCAGCTATAACATTTTTTAAAAGTAACTATTTACCTTCAACAGTGGGCAAAAGAAAGACGTTAGTGAGGTCACAGAGTCTTAGCAGTTACTGTCTATTGGAACTTAATCCTGTCACTACCTGAGAGTGTGGAGAGACATGTACCTTAAAATCACAATCTGGGGTTTTGAAACAACAACCACCACCTGTCAATTGTAATCTGTATATGTGTCACAGTGGTGTTTATTCAACTGTGCTGTCGTAGTGAATTGTTGGCTAACATGTTTAGCTTATTTTTTGTGCCAGACAGGATCACACACTTACTTTAGATTGAATTTCAAGTTTTGCCCAGCTACTGTCTGTCGCTGTCTTCCAAAATGCACACGTTTGGAAATCAAAAGGTATAATTTCTAAATACCACTAAAAATGCACCTACTCAGTTTCAAATGTACTGCATGAACATATCTGAGTCTAAAACAGTCTGACAAAGTCCAGTGAAAATTTTCTTTCATGCAGGCAATGATTTTCAGTTTTGTTTTACCACTGTATATATAAATGAGGGTAGACTAAATATAGAAAAAAAACTCTCAGTAAAACACAAAACAATTTAATAGGACCAGAAACTACAGCCTCCAAAATGACTGTATACTTCAATCCAAACCTCTCTGTCCTAAAGTTTCAACAAAAACTGAGCATCACAATTGATACATGGTTTACATTCATTCTTTAATTTAAATATTCTTCCTTCTGTTGTATTTGGTCAAATCATTGGTTTCACAGAGGATAGCTAAAAAAAAAGTAAAGTAATAAGGTTTTTTCATACCGTTAGATAACAAACACATACAACAGTGCAGCAATGAGTAACTAACAACAGTATAAGGAAGTAGGAAATGAAAAATAAAACATGGCACTGCGAGGAGTCTTTTAAAGGCATAGTCTATACTATACAGTCTTTCCCAGTGGAATTCCAACATGGGTGATGTTGGTACAGTGACTGTACCTTTAATGACAACAGTGCTTAAGTTGCATCATCTTCACCTCCATGCAACAGAGAAATGCTGGCCTCCAGGAGACATCAGCGACTCCTGTGGTACAGGAATGAAGACTGATCACACTGTGGATGAACAAGAACCAACTGTAAAACTCAAGAAGAAGATTTAAGACTTCTTCACTGTTCTGCTTTCAGGGTTGTTAAAGGGACAGAGTCCGTTCTGCTGTTCACATGGCTGCAGGTATGTCAGGTAGGATTATAGAGTGATTGCCTACATGTTCAGGTATTATTTCTAAATATAGAATGAGCTTTTATGAGACAGACAATTTACCTGTCATCTATTGGACAAATAACACATCTTGATTTTGACATTTTTAACCCTACTTCCATTCTCCCCAAGACTTTCTGGCTCTCCTGAATGCTGCTATAGCTAATAAAGACATGGTAACACTCACTATGTCTCAGTGTGGGAGGAACATGAAGAGGAGACAGTGGGACGGTGGACTGTGACTGGCTGTCTGAAGGCTCAAGTGAGTTCCTTTGGTCCATTATCTAAAGAGAAGACAAAGGTCAGAACATCAACTCATATACTGTAAATACCTTACAAGGATACTATTTATGATCATGGTACAGCTATAAAGTGTATTTACCTTCAACAGTGTGCAAGGAAGAAGTTAGTGAGGTCACAGAGTCTTAGCAGTTACTGTCTATTTGAGATTAATCCTGTCACTACCTGAGAGTGTGGAGAGACATGTACATTAAAATTATAATCTGAGGCTTTGACACAACACCATAAACACCTGACAGTTCTAATCTCAGTATGTGTCAGAGTGTTGTTTATTCAACATAATGGTGAATTTCACTGTGTTGTCTTAGTGAATTGTTGAATTTTCTAACATGTTTATTTTATTTTTGTTCCAGACAGGTTCACACATTTACTTTAGATTGAATTTCATTATGTATTTTCTGAATTCAAAAGCACAAAGATCAGATAAGTTCTGCCCAGCCACTGTCTGTTGCTGTCTTCCAAAATGCATGTTTGGAAATGGGCCAAGTAACTATCATTTCTAAATTCCACTAATAAATGCATTAAACTGATTTAAAAGGATACACTCAATTTCCAGTGTGTTACATAAATGTACCAATCTAACAAAGTCTAGTAAAAAATTCACTTTCATACAGGTTATGATTTTCAGTTTTGTTTTACAACTGTATATATATCACTGAGGGTAGACTAAACATTGGAAAAACCTCTCAGTAAAACACAAAGCAATTTAGTAGGACCATATACTACATCCTCAAAAATGACTGTATACTTCAATCCAAACCTCTCTGTCCTAAAGTTTCAACAAAAATTGAGTATCATAGTGAGTCCATACATGGTTCACATTCACTCTTTGATTTAAATATTTTTCCCCTCTGTTGTATTTAGTCAATCATTCAAGGATAGCTAGAAAAAAAAAGAAGTTTTTCATACCTTTAGAGAATCAACACATAAAACAGTGCAGCAACGAGCTGCCGACAACAGTATAAGGAAGGAGGAAAATGAAAACCAAAACACAGCCCTGTGAAGACTCTACACAGTCTTTCCCCAGTGGAATTCCAACATGGGTGATGTTGTTACAGTGACTGTACCTTTAATGACAACAGTGCTCAAGTTGCATTATCTACACCTTCATGCAACAGAGACATATCGGCCTCCAGGAGACACCAGCGGCTCCTCACAAACTCTGGGTTGAGAACCAGCAGCACCTTCTGGCTCTCCTGGACACACTCGGACATCACACAGACACGATGGCATTGCTATTAAAGCTAAAAGAGTCACACATTCAGACGTGCTCAGTGATCATGCTGCTGTGTTATATAACTGATTAAAGTCACTTTAAGTGTGGATGTGATGTGAGTTCCAGCAAAGGTTTATCTTAAACAATAAATTGGAATATGATTTTTAAAAAAAAATGTCTAAATGAGGTGAAGTCTTTTAATGAACATACTGTTGTTTTCAAAACTCAGTGTGTTTGGGATTGTGATGTAAACAGAATCTAAATACCACATGAAATATAGAAACACCCAAATGACTCAGCCTCTAGTAATACAGTTATATCTTGATCAGTTGCTACATTCACATTAAAAATACATTCAATTTTAAAACAATATAATCGATAAACGATATAAACTAGTCCAAGTCATCCTGCTGGTACCTGTTGGGGGGCCTGACCAGTGTGTGTTTAGAGGTACTGCATTAGGCAGATTCAAGAAACTGTGTTCATGTTTCACAAATACTAATTTATTTACACAGAAAGTGGCACCGTGATACACGTGTAACACAAAATATGTACAAAGCCAAAAACTAAATAAACAGTTAACTTGGCTGAACTGAACATAAGCGAACACATAGTTACATAAGCGAACAGCACGTGCACATGGCTGCACTGATGTTGCCTCACCAGCAACCTAAAGCAATTGCTTAAATAGCTCCTTGCATCAACTGGAGCCACCTGGGCTGTACCATACCTGCCAACCATGTGTTTCCTGAAAACAGGGGTGTGACAAAGTTATTGGTTTTTCCCAAACCTTTCTATAGGAACACTTCCATCTACCATTTACAACTATTTATCAATAAATCAAACTAAACATTCACTAAATAAACACAAAATCAATCAACTTTCCCTCCTTACCTACCCCCATACATAGTCTACCCCAGTGACATCACTGATGATGTAACCAAGTGTATAAATAGGGGAAGTGTCCTCCTGTTGTCCCTGGAGCACATGGTAGGTATGGTAAGTAACAGAGAAAGAAAATCATTAATTTGTGGAACATAAAACTGAACAAATATGCAATAGCTAAACTTAACAATACCCGTCTGTGTTTTAATTCAATCAGAAGTAATGATGGTGTGTGAACTGTAACCAAACAAAATGCAAAACACAAACAAACCCAGGATAGTTATGTGCAAAGTCTCTGGTTGTGATGGAAGTAAGTAAAAACACTAAATTGGTTCACAATATGGCAAAAATGGGGACAAGTGCTGTGTCGTCACCCACTTTATGACAGTCCCACATGTAATATATGTTACCATGGATACTCAAATACGTTTAGGTTTGTGGCAAACATGACTTCTCTTATGATACCGATAGTTTCAAATGCCACAATATGCTGAAGAACAAGAATAATTTCAATTCATTTCAAGTATAACAATAGATTCCAAAATCTGTAACGTGTCCCTCGCTGCAGAATCAAACGTTCTCAAGCAACTCAGTGTTGCTAAATAGTAAGTAGCCTGTTAATGCAAAAAGAAGTGCGGTTGTAATCGTGCAATCAAGAGAACTAAAAGACAAAGCTAGTAAACTTTATAAAGACAAAAGATGTAAGAAAAGGCATGAAAAGTGTACATGGCAAAATAAAAACATTTATCAGTGAAGCACAAGTGGCTAAAGAAAACGTCAGCTTTATGCCTCCATTGAGTTTGCTGAAAAAAACACACACAAAAAAACCCCACAGTATCCTGTTATCCTATCATAAAAATTATATATGACATCTATTAGAAATTGTGTTTGTGCATCTATGCTTATATTATAGACATACAGTATGCTGCATAAATATATGTCAGTCCGAAATTATAAACAGTGGGTTCCACTTTCCCAGAATGGCAAAATGGACATGTTTAAAATGAATGACCAATTAATAAGATAAACATGCAGAAGCATATAGAATTTTTATATGCATGTCGTTTTAAGAAACTTGCATATATAAACTAAATGTATATTAACATATATGATTGCAACCTAAAATACCATATAAAAATTCAGCATGTATTTTTAATATTTGCATACATGAATTTTACTATGTGTATTTGATGTATTTAATATGTTATGAATTTATATCTTCATATATCCAGAGGATGTATATGTGAGGAATGAGCTTTTCTGAGACTGACAATTTACCTGACATCTATTGGACAATTAATACATCTTGATTTCTTTCTTACCTCTACTTCCATTCTCCCCTGCTCAGCTGCTGCGAGACATACTGACAGAAACACACCCCTCCCGCCAGATGACCAGTGGAGCTGGACCGGGGAAAAGGAAAGTGTCTATTGGCAAGGCAGGAGACGTAACCTGATGAGAAGTAGATCATTGCTCTTCGAAACATGTCCTCAGCACCAGCCTGCTCAGAAAATGTTTCTGCAAACTCACGTTTGCATCCATCCAGAGTTAGATAGTCCAGATAGAGTTTGGAATTGGACATGCAGCCCATTAACGCCTTCTCCACAGAAAGGATTATGTTTGCCTGACCTACAGCTTTCTGCATCTCCCTCATAATGTACTTCTCATCATCTCTCTGCCAGAGACCAAACTGAATAAAAAACCCAATTATAACACACCAGAAACAAGGAGTACTGATCACCAATAGTCCAGAAAAAACAATTAGCAGAACTATAGAACCCATTATCAAGACTGTAAGAAACAATCCGAAACAAAGGCCAGCCAGTGTTCGAAGCCAGAGTGGACGCAGCCACACTTTTTGAGAGACAGTGTTGATCATCCTCACAGCCTCTCTGTACTTCTCCTGGTCCTCAATGATCAGGCGCAGTTGGTCTGGCACATCCATGTCACTGAACTGACCACAGTCCCATCTATTGAGTCCCTTATCATTGACAGCAGTCAAAGGCTGCAGGGCTTTCCCGTTGTAGATAGAGGGAGCCTGGAAGGGCACCACAGTGGACCCTTGAAGCTGCTGGTTGGGGGTGCAGAGCACCTTCAGCAGCTTATTCATAAATTCAGGGTCGTTGGCTTCCAGGTAGGTGAGGTGGCAGAGGTGAGGAGGAACTGAGACTCCTGGCTGCAGCAGCACTGGGACGATGGGTTTCCTCTCCAGACAGTCTCTGAACAGAGACATGTTGGCCTCCAGGAGACACCAGCGGCTCCTCACAAACTCCGGGCTGAGAACCAGCAGCACCTTCTGGCTCTCCTGGATGCACTCGGACATGTTCTCCAACACGGTGCGCCCGGGAATGAAGTCACGATCATGGTAGCAGACCTGCAGGCCAAAGGACTCCAGCTGGTTGATGATGCAGTGAGTCCACTGGTGATCAGTGCTGCTGTAGCTAATGAAGACATGGTAACACTCACCATCTCTCAGTGTGGGAGGAACATGAATAGGAGACAGTGGGACGGTGGACTGTGACTGGCTGTCTGAAGGCTCAAGTGAGTTCCTTTGGTCCATTATCTAAAGAGAAGACAAAGGTCAGAACATCAACTCATATTTTGTAAATACCTTACAAGGATACTATTTATGATCATGGTTCAGCTATAAAATACTGTCTATTGGAAATTAATCCTGTCACTACCTGAGTGTGGAGAGACATGTCAATTAAAATTATAATCTGAGGCTTTGACACAAAACAATAAACACCTGAGAGTTCTAATCTCAGTATGTGTCAGAGTGTTGTTTATTCAACATAATGGTGAATTTCACTGTGTAGCTGCAGTGAATTGTTTATGCTTACGTGTTTCTTTCATTTTTGTGCCAGACAGGTTTACACCATTGTTTAAGATGGATTGAAAATGGGACAAATGGCTATCATTTCGAGAAAAAAAAAACCTCTAAAAATGCATTAAGATGATTTTTAATGGATACATGTACGCAATTTCCAGTGCATTACATAAATATTACGGAGTCTAAAACAGTCTCACAAAGTCCTGTGGAAAAGACAATTGTATACAGGTTATGATTTTCAGTTTTGTTTTACTGCTGTATGTGTGTACATATATCAATGAGGGTAGATTAAACATAATAAATCCCTCTCAATAAAACAAAAAGCTATTTAATAGGACCAGAAACTACAGCCTCCAAAATGACTGTATACTTCTATCCAAACCTCTTTGTCTAAACAGTTTCAACAAACATTGAGCATCAAAATTCCTACATGGTTTATATTCATTCTTTGATGTAAATTTTTTTTTTCCTGTTGTATTTGGTCAAATCATTGGTTTCACAAATAATAGTAGAGTTAAAAAAAGTTAAGTAAAAGTTATTTCATACCTTTAGATAACAAACAGATAAAAAAAAAAGTGCAGCAATGAGTCAACAACAGTATAAGGAAGTAGGAAATGAAAAATAAAACATGGCACTGCGAGGAGTCTTTTAAAGGCATAGTCTATACTATACAGTCTTTCCCAGTGGAATTCCAACATGGGTGATGTTGGTACAGTGACTGTACCTTTAATGACAACAGTGCTTAAGTTGCATCATCTTCACCTCCATGCAACAGAGAAATGCTGGCCTCCAGGAGACATCAGCGACTCCTGTGGTACAGGAATGAAGACTGATCACACTGTGGATGAACAAGAACCAACTGTAAAACTCAAGAAGAAGATTTAAGACTTCTTCACTGTTCTGCTTTCAGGGTTGTTAAAGGGACAGAGTCCGTTCTGCTGTTCACATGGCTGCAGGTGTCAGGTAGGATTATAGAGTGATTGCCTACATGTTCAGATATTATTTCTAAATATAGAATGAGCTTTTATGAGACAGACAATTTACCTGTCATCTATTGGACAAATAATACATCTTGATTTTGACATTTTTAACCCTACTTCCATTCTCCCCAAGACTTTCTGGCTCTCCTGGAAGCACTCGGCCATGTTCTCCAACACGGTGTGCCCGGGAATGAAGTCATGATCATGGAAGCAGACCTGCAGGCCACAGGACTCCAGCTGGTTGATGATGCAGTGGATACACTGGTGGTCAGTGCTGCTGTAGCTAATGAAGACATGGTAACACTCACCATCTCTCAGTGTGGGAGGAACATAAATGGAATGAGACAGTGGACTGTGACTGGCTGTCTGAAGGCTCAAGTGTGTTCCTTTGGTCCATTATCTAAAGAGAAGACAAAGGTCCTGGTCCCTTAATTGATCTTGTGGGGGCACTATGGGAATATGGGGTACCAAAGTGAGGGTTGTGTCTTGATTCTTGGTCAGAAAGTCCAACATGTTCCTTGTGGTTTTTGTCCTCCACCAGGGGTGTCCCTTTCCACCTATCACGTTCGTGATTTTCATTGACAAGTTTTTAAGGCGCAGCCAGGGGGAGGAGTGTGTCTTGTTTGGGAGCCTCAGAATTCCCTCTGATATTCACAGATGGTGTGGTTCTGTTGGTTCTCGTCAGACTGGGACCTTCAGCATGCACCATGAGCTTTGGGTCATGACCGAAAGAATGAGATCAACGGTATAAGTGGCTGAAATTAGTTTCCTTCGCAGGGTGGCTTGGCTGAGCCTTACAGATAGGATGAGAAGCTCTAACATCCGGAGTAGAGTCACTGCTCCATTGCGTTGAAAGGAGCCAGTTGAGGTGGTTCCGGCATCTGTTTAGGATGTCTCCTGGGTGCCTTCCATTGGAGGCCTTCCAGGCATGTCCGATTGGTAGGAGGCCTCGGTGTAGACCCAGAACACTCTACAGAGAGATATCTCATCTGGCCTGGGAACACCTCAGGATCACCCAGGAAGAGCTGGTAAAGATAGCTGGGGAGAGGGACGTCTTGACTACTTTGCTTGACTTGTTGCCCGCAATTGCTTTTAGATTGAATTTCATTATGTATCTTATAGATGTAAAAGCACAAAGATCAGATAAGTACTGCCCAGATGTTGGTTGTCACTGTCTTCCAATATGCACGTTTGGAAATGGGACCAAGTAGCTATCATTTCTAAATTCCACTAAACTGATTTTAAGGAATATTTGTGCTCAATTTCATAAAAATAACAAAAACAATGTAACAAAGTCCTGTAACAAATTTTACTTTCAAAATTTCTTGTTTTGTTTTTCTACTGTGTATATATATCAATGAGGGTAGACTAAACATTGGAAAATCCTTTCAGTAAAACACAAAGCAATTTAATAGGATCATAAAATGACTGTATACTTCTATCCAAAATATGAAATTTCATACATGGTTGACATTTATTCTTTAATTTAAATATTTTTCCTTTTGTTGTATTTAGTCAAATCATTCAAGGATAGCTAGAATAAAAGTAAAGTAATAAAGATTGTGATACCTTTAGATCACAAACATAAAACAATGCAGCAATGAGTCGTATACAACAGTATAAGGAAGTAGGAAAATGAGAAACAAAACACAGCACTGTCTTTTAAAGGCACACTGTATACTATCCAGTCTGTCCCCAGCAGAATTCAAACATGGGTGATGTAGCTACAGTGGCTGGACCTTTAATGACAACAATGCTGAAGTTGCTTTATCTTCACCCTGCATGCCTCAGCCTGTCTTTCTGGTTAGGATGCACCTGAAAGTTGCCTTGGGGAGAGATTGTGAGATTAATAATCCCTTAAAGATCGAACAAAATGATAGTAGGGCTTTCTGAAGTGTTAAAAGCATTTCATTAGTTCATGTAGACTTCCTGGTTTTTAGTCTTAGAACATATTTGCAGTAGGAGATTTAAAATGAGAAAAGAAAAATAATTTGCTGGCTGAAATTTCCAGGTATTGTCTGCATGCAGATGTGTCTTTAGCCCCTCCACATCTCAGCCACTCTGTGGCCAGTTTGGTGTCTGGTTTCCTGGATATTGCTGCATTTATTACTCTGCTTGATTTGGCCTCCATCCATCTGATCACATTAAAGGAAAAAAAGAGCCACAGCACAGTTTAACCTAAACATTACCAATGCCGGTTTGTCACTTTCCCTCCAGCTAGCCTATAGTTTCAAAACCAAGATAAGGGCTTTTCCATGTTTCAGAAACTAGTTATATTATGTTTAAATGCACAAACCATAACCAGGGGAACCAGGTATTAGCATCCATATAAATGCACTGAATGACTAGTGGCTAAAATGTCAGTCGTCATAATGCATTTCTTAAATACTAACTTAAACCTTGTTTTTGAAAGAAATCTGCAGAAATTGGCATAATGATGCTCCATCTTTTTCTGATGTGAAATGTGTCAAAGAAAAGGTCTAGGTAATCCAAGGGAGTTGGGCTGAATCTTATAGCATTTTTCCACCACACGGTGGTGCATGGTGCTATCATGACGTCATCTTTCAACATCATGATAGCAAAACAATGTAACGAATCCATCTTAATTTCATTTATTTCAGTTGGGGTTGCATCATGTACTCAATCCTTTGAAGTAGGAGTGACTCCTCTGTATGAGCACAGAGATAATGTCTGGGCTTGTCATATAGTAGTTAATAAATTCTGGTGGTGTCTTCTTTTGACTCAGTGCTCATGGGTCCCTTTGTTTTGGAGGAGGAGAACTGATTGTTAAATGGCTCTACATTGACCAGAAAACAAGCTGCAGAATGAGTTTCTGGAGGACAGCCCAAACGCATGATATATAACAAAAAACACATCCACCAATCCCTGTTGTGACTCTGTGGTCCTCCATCTCTAAGAGAAGTCATCCAATAAAGATCAGTAAGTAAGGCCTGTCTGTTTCAGTGACCCAGGGCCATTTTAATATCTGTGAGATACTGAAAACCGAAGGGAATTTCATTCATCAAAATCACTTTCCTATCCTAGCTGACATTAAAGAACAATTTAGAGCATGGGAAATCAAACTATGCCATCTCTCCTCTGACTGTTGTTCAGAAATTAGGTTCTCCAAATCATTACGCCAAGATAGAAACGGAAAATATGAGGGTTCTTTCCCTCAAGGGTGGAAAAACATGTTACTTCTTTCCTGTTCCGTTTCAGTGTTTTCATACAGACTGGTGACCACTTCTAATCTTTTGGTTACAGAACTGAACAAGTGCCTCAGGTTAAAGAGGAAAGCAGCTCAAACAATGTAATCCAGCTGTAATCTAGACCAACATCTGCTGCTCTCTTGATGCACCCAGACTGGAAGAGCACTAAGCGGACAGGCTACTGAACTCTTTAACACCCTTCACTCAACCCATACGCAGTCGGGCAATTTAAGTTGAGGACGGCGCAGGACATTCATGTAAAAATGCATGCTATTAATACATGGCATTATGCAACAGTTGATGAACATCAGTGTTCTTATGCAAAAAGAGACAGAAGAGAATCTGTAATGTAACGAAAAAGAAGAAAAGGAAATTGTGGAGCATAGACATTTTGTACATATGTTTATGTAATTTTACAGTTAAGAGTATGTGACATTGTGTACTATGAAATCTCAAATTATGATTTCATCCTTTTGGCACCACTTTCTAAAGAGCCAACTTTTCCAGAGGATTCAATTGTTGTAACTGATGGCATTGTCAAATGTTAAAGATTACGTCCACTCAAACAACTGTTCTCATTTTGCAAAATGATGTATGTTCAGAGTCTGACATCAGGCTGAGAAAGTTTCTTTGTGTCAAGTCAATTTTATCCATAAAGGTCAAAACCATAAAGCACAAATTTGTCTCACAGGGCT